AGGTGCAGGAAAGGTGCTGGAGAAAGGCGATGGCGAGGTGAGCGAGCTTGGCAAAGTTGAGGGAAAGATGCTGGAGAAAGGCCAGCAAGGCAAGGGTGAAGGAAAGGTAGAACAGAAAGGCGATGGCAAGATGGAGGTGAGGGACCCCTGTGAAGGAAAAACAAGCGGCAAGGGTGAAGGAAAGGTGCAGGAGAAAGGCAATGGCAAGATGGAGGTGGGCGAGCCCGGCAAAGCTGAAGGAAAGAACTCCACTGTCGAGGTGATCGAGCCTGGCAAAGTTGAAGGACAAGTCGAGGACGAAATGGATCTCGATCTGAGGGACCCCCGCAAAGGTGAAGGAAAGATGATGATGAAAGGCCAGGAAGGGAAGGGTGAAGGAAAGGTGGTGGAGACAGGCGATGGCATCGATGGCGTGAGCAACCCCGGCAAAGGAAAGAAAGGCGCTGACGACATGGAGGGCGAGCGTGGCAAAGGTGGAAAAAAATGTCCTGAAAAAAGGCCATGAGAAAGACCAAAAGGGTACATCCGATGAGGAATTCTCAGTGGAGCAGGATGAGATCCCAGAAGGAAAGGGCAAAGGAAAGATGAAGCCGAATGTGGACAATGAAGCAAAAGGTGATGGAAAGCGCGGCTTCTTGGCAGGTTGCACGGGCTCCTCTCTGCCAGGAGATGTTTCGGAGATGGAGGAGCTCTGGCAGGCTGCCTATAAGAAAGGGATGGCAAAGGGCCGGGAGCAGGAGAGGGCTCGACCATCAAGGCCCAGGCCTGCGGATGACTCGCCGGGCACATCTCGAGACCGAGATAGGCGGAGGAGGAGGAAAACCTCGCATCCCCGCCACAGGAGGTCTGAAAGGTGATCTCTGGAGCGCTGCTTGAGGATGAGGAAAAAAGGGCGAGCTGCCTTGAGTGAACTTCGTTTTATCATAATAGTATTTTATCGATTTGTATTATAGCGCCTCAATGCTCGATTGATAAATACAATATATAATATCGCATGCAATCTATTCATGATAAATATAATATATATCGTTGGCCTGTATTATATGTTTTAACATGAGGTGACCGCCATACACGACCCCAGCCTGTTTGCAGGCGGCGCTTCATGGCCAAGGGCAGGAAGTTGCGAGGCGGCGCAGCGGCTACCAGGTCGCCAGTGCGGCTGCGCAGGCCTGAGCTTGGCTTCGCCCAGCGGCAGAAGCAAAGCCGCAGCTTCGGTGCAGCCAGCCTGTCTTCAGCGTAGCAACTCGTGTTTGGCAGTGCAGTTGTAATGTGTGCACGATGACATGACATGTTTGGTGGATCAAGGAACACGCAGCATACATATAATATAACTTGATCGATAAAAGCGCTGGATATATATTAATTATTTTGTGGCACCTGCATTTTATATATAGCATGGATTGGATTGCCATCTATGGATAATATATATTACATTCAATCTCTGTTTAGCGCCATGCCCTTCTCAGTGAGCAGTGAAGATGACCTGGATAAGCTACCTGCTTGCAACCTAATTACTCAAACAACGTTGGTGTGTGCAATATATATACTTCAAACTTCCAAGGTTGACTGTAAAGCTCATGCGGATTGGAATGCCGAAGGCCCAATGGGCTGTGAGTCTTGTGCAACATGAATATACACGTTGCGAATAACCATGTTGTGAATTCAATCTTGCAGGCTTTTGTCTTCCTAGTTGTCCTTGTGTACTTCAACCAGGGGATGCCGCCTGTGGAGAAGCCCTTTCAGGTTGTAGAATTCTTCAGCGGCACTGGACACTTTGGCAAAAGCTGCCGCTTTGGATGCCTGATGACTGCACAGCTGGACATTGATATGGGCCAATCACTCCGCGTGGGCAGTGGAACGCTTTTGATATGACTACTCCCCCCAGGAATAGCGCTGCTCAGTTGCATGTCAGCCTTGCCACTCACAGTGCGCGTTGGTTCGAGATACTATATATAAATACTGCTTGCATGTTGTTGGCTTAGGCTTGCAATTTGGGTGCTATTGCACACAGAAGCTGGAGATTTTTTTGGCTTGCTTGCTATTGTGTGCACCTCTTTCTCGGCTTGCAATGTGGCTACATCAAAGAGGAGCCCAGTAGTACCATATGGTGACACCAGCCTGCCTTACGTAGCATCTGGAAACTGCTGTGCAAGCAGGTCTATCCTGTTGGCAGCTCTCATGCAAATGCTGGGTGGCTGCTGGTTCATAGAGCAACCGGCCAGCAGCAGATTGGCATGGTACCCTCGCTTCGAATGGCTTTGTCGCAGCCTTTGGTCGAAAGCTTGGCAGATAGGCTGGTGGGCGCGACACTTCAAAGCTTTGACTCCAAAGCGGCATAGAGCTTGGTCCAACAGCAAGGAAATCTCTGTTCTCAACCGGGGTGTGTTGACCAAGAAGGAGCGCGATGCATGCCCAGTCAAGACAACAGACAGATCGGTGAAGGTGGATGCTTCAGGAAACTTGAAAACAACATGGTCTGGGAACAAGCACCTGAAGAAAACGCAGCCCCGGCCTCAATTGCCTGTGAACTGTATACATGCAGCCATGAGTGCAGATTGCTTTTGTTTTTTTGTGTTCTGCTTGTTCAGGTCGTACCCAATTCCATTTGGACTCCACATGCAGCGCTACATTCATGTCCTGCGCTCCTCTGGCTGCGGCAACTTGGAAGAGCTTCCAGGGGTAAGCGCACCGGAGATGTTCTACCAGATGCCTTGGAGCACATGGCCAGAGGCTGGGTGTTCAATTTGCAGTACGTTGTGCACTTTGCGCGCATCTATCTGCGGCAGGCTGGGTTGGAGGCAGCGGTCATCTACATGAGGGGCTCCAAGCGCCTGATGGTGCCATCCAGATGGAAGAATAGATTTCCATTGTATATTTGATGTAATATGCATGTGAAGATTATAGCTGATACGAAGGGAAAAAATGAGTGGAGCATGTATTTGCATGTTTTGCTTTATGTTAAGAGGTAGGGGTGGAGCATGTATTGATAAATATTCAACCCGGAGAAATAACTTTTAGAACCCGGAGAAAATCCAGACCCGGACTAGACCCGAGAAAACCCGGATTTGGCGCGAGAAAACCCGGATTTGGCGCGAGAATTCAGGACGTGTATTTGCTTTACGAAGGCATGTATTGGGTATTTCCTATCGTTGCCTATATATATACATGACGATAGCCATTCGGGGATCAATCACATGCAGTCGCTCCAAAGCCGTGCTTGGAGCTGTTCGGAACTTGTAGAGGGTGCGACCATGCTCACTGACGAAGCAGCTGTGGCCTTGAAGAAGAGCCTCCTGTCTGAGACTCACGGGAAGTCGTTGGAGGAGCTCGAGCGTTTGCTGGAGGCCGGGCTGATGGCTGTTGTTATAGGGTTGGCTCATGTATCAATGCTTGACATGGAGGAGACCGAAGGGAACATCGCTATGCATCCTGATTGCCATCAAGTGGATTCTATGGTGCCCTGACTCGATTAGCAGTCCACATGTCATTTATATAATATATAAAATGCACATGCATGCTTAGGGCCGCTATATTATGAAAAAGGAGCATGTGCATGAGGCGCAACTGATGGACTCTTTGTGCCCAAACCGCTGCCGGCCTGCCACTTGTATTAATTAATATATAATAGTTTGAGATTCATCCTGAACCATGGATAGTAGAAGTCTCCAATATAACATGCGCGCATGCCTGGATATATGATATTTAGAAACCACCAATATAACACGCTCGAACATAATGCCATGCACCTAGGCTGTCGCTGGTGTGGCCACGCCTCAAAATGCTCTGTTGCCACAGCAAGCTTCGGCGCAGGCTGCTGCAGCCCAAGCCAGGGCAGCAGAGGCAAAGGAGGCAGCTCTTCTGGCTCAGAAGGCGGCTGAGGAAGCGGCGGCGCAGCTGCATTCCTTAGAGACTGAAGAGTTCTACTCACAAATGCCAACCATGCACTATGGCCTTACCGATGTCAGTTTGCGAGAAACACTTACACAAGAGACTCTGCAGGAGGAACAACAAACCATTAGGGACCAGGAATCTGCAGAGAAGGTGAAGGGAGAAGAGGCAACAGCAAGGGCAGCGGAAGCTCAAAAAAATGGCTGAGGAGAAGGTGAAGGCTGAAGAAGCAGAGGCTGCTGTGAAAAGAGCAAAAGCCGAAGAAGCCAGGCTTGCTGCAGAAGCCGAAGCCAAAAAAGCAGCTGAAGAGAAGGCAAAGGCTGAGGAGACAGCTAGGGCTGAACGAGTGGAAGCCCAAAAAGCAGCTGAGAAGGCTGAAGAAGAGGCGAAGCTTGCAGCGGAAGCCAAAAGAAGAGAGGAAGAAGAGATGGCTAGGCTTGCAGCAGCTGAAGAGAAGGCAAAGGCTGAAGAGGAAGCTCGGCTTGCAGATGAGGGTAGAAAAGCAGCTGAAGAGAAAGCCAAGGCTGAAGCAGCAGCCAGGTTTGCTGCTGACGCCGCTGAGGCAAGGGCAAAGGCCGAGCAGGAGGCTAGGCTTGCAGAAGCAGCCAAGGAGGCAAAGGCCGAACGAGAGGCTAAGCATGCAGCTGAGGAGAGGGCAAAGGCAGAAGCAGCATCCAGGCTTGCTGCTGAAGCCATGGAGATGGAGAGGCTTGCAGCCCAAGCTCGAAAGATGGCTGAGGACAGGGCCAGGATGGAAGCGCAGCTCGCTGAGGAGAAGGCGAAGGCTGAAGCAGCGGCCAGGCTTGCTGCTGAGGCCATGGAGAAGAGGGCCAAGGCTGAAGAGGAGGCCAGGCTTGCCGCTGAAGCCCAAAAAGTTGCTGAAGAGAAGATGAAAGCTGAAGCGAAAAGGGCACAGGAGAAAGAAGCGGCGAGACTTGCAGCTGAAGAGCAGCAGGTGGCTCAGCAAAAGAAGGCTGATGAGGAGGCTAGGCTTGCAGCTGTAGCCCAAAAAGCAGCTCAGGCGAACGCTGCTCTTGCAGCTGAGGAGGAACGTAGGCTCAAAGCGGAGGCAGCTGTGGCGCGCGCAGAGGCTGCGAAAATGGCTTTGCAGAAGGCAAGGGAAGCGGCAGCAGCGGCTGAGCTTGAAGCTGCACGAACACAAGCAGCTGCAACGTGCGAGCTACCTGAGATTCCTGTTGCTTGGCTTGCATGTATTGTATATATTATTTATATCACAAAATATGATCATGATAGTTCAAGATAGCATTGATATCTAAAATATACTGTATATTAAAAATGTTCCTGCGCATTGATATCATAAACTATATTATATTATATTATAAATTTTACGCGTGTACACTACAAACTATAAATCAATTATGTATTATATATAACGCGTGGCACCGCCCAACAGGCTTCAATGGCTCTCCCTCCTGGTGAAGTTTCAACTCCTGGTGCTTCTCTGGTTGCTGAGCCAGCCAAGAAGAGACAAAGACTCCTACATGCATATAATCATGATTGTCTCTATATATTTTTTAAATCAATCCTACATTTCAGTGTAGCAGTAGTTCACAACATGCCAAGGAATTGAAGAGACAGTCCCTGGGGAGACTTCACCAGTTGCCACACCCCCGCTTGACAATGAGAAGGAGTTGTTGGAGGTGTACGACTTGTCTTCGAAGGACCCTTCTGAAATCATGTTTGATTTTCTCACCGTATATTGAACTAAAGAAATTTGTGATTTGCCAGGAGCTGACGCCACATGCCATCTACATGAGATGCCGCCGCCTCTGTGAAAAGAAAGCGTCAGGGCGCCTGCAGGTCAGCCCAGAGATCCACGAGCAGTGGACCAGAGGGTGCAGGGATGAGCTCTGCCTTGCCTTGGTGAATGCCTTGAAGATCCATGGCATGGATGACAACAAGAAGACTCGAGAACTTGTGAGGGTGCGGGGTCTGGCAACATGTATAATAGATGTTTCCTCATAATTATTATATTGTTTGATTGACCCACAACTCGCTCCATGAAAAAAACACCAGCCCTGCCAGGCAGAGTTCACCCAGCAAATGATCTATGTGAAGGAGCGCCTAAAGGAGAGGGAGGAGGAAATCGAAGGGGGTTGGTACACAGAGGAAAGGATGGCATCAGAACTGAAATACAGCGCGAGCCTTGTTACAAAAATTAAGGCTATATATGCACGCATGTTTTTATGAGAGGCCATGACTATAGTACTATTTTGTTCTTTCGCTGCAACGGCTGAGGAACCTCATAAAGAAGATCAAGGCTTATTGCATGAGGTTCCCTACAGTCCTAGTCCGCAAGTGGAAGTACGATGAGAGTGTGCCCGAGTACTTTGTGCAAACGCATGACAAGGTCACAGTCAAGCGGAAGGATCTCGAGAAGGCGCAGTGGACAGAAGACATGGAGCCAGACGAGGAGATGCCTGAGTTTGAGATGATGCAGTTGGAACCAAGCGCGACAAAGGAAGCACCAAGCGCACTGCAAGCCATGGCTTCTGGAGGTCAACAGCTGAACACGGCGGATGAGGCCATGAATAGTATATTATATACGTTGAAAATATCATTTGGCAAATATCGGCCTGCAAGCAAGAACATTTGTGAGAGTATATATCGTGCATGTGATACTGATATCGGTCAATAACCTTCATGGATATTAAACTATTATAGTATGCATGCAGCATTCACACGCATGCTTTCAGGCCAAAGCCAATTTGCACAAGTTCATTGAAGCTTTTCACCAGAAAGCCTCGAACCTGACCTCTTGGATTACCTCTTTGGAGGTGCCAGCCAATCCTTGTCCTACTCCGAGGATGGAGCAGCAACTTGCCATGAAGTATTATTCTGTCCAGCACATACATGAGACACGGAATCACCATATCACGTGCAGTATGTTGTTCTCTGAGGTTCTCAGCGGAGTGCAGACACATTTTGACATCCATGGAGAGCTGCTTCGAGGACCTGGCAAAGTGCCAACACTTCTTGGAGGTGGACGGAATGAGTGACGCGCCCATTGGCTGCATGCCTAGGCTTTTGCGACTTACTGCCAGCACCATGTGTATATTTTTTTATGTGTGCATAATCGCCTCAAAATCTGAGGGTGGTTTCCATGATCAAGGATGCCAAGGACAAGACTCGTGAGCCGTGTCCTAGCCGCACCATTTAATTACCTAAGAAGCCTGTAAAACCAATACTACACGCACAGCCATCCGAGGTGTGTCAAGATGTTGGCCAAAGAGCATTCCTACAAGGTACTACAGGCCGAGGCCAAGAAGAACAAGAGCAAGAATGGAACTGATTTTCCATCTACGCCTGGACCCAAGGAAAAAGCCAAGGCCAAAGGGAAGCCCAAGGCGAAAGGTAAGGGGAAGGCGAAGAGCGCTCCCAAAAAGAAGGAACAGCAGGATGAAGAGCAGCAGGATTGATCACGGTGATCATGGCGTGTGCTGCCATGTGATGGGGTTTTTCTTGCAAAGCAAGATCTTTGAAACGCCTTCCTGCTGACACTGCGGGCGTGCGTTGTGTGTGTGCAGGTCATGGAATGTGGACCCTGCGTAATATGCATAGTGGGCCATACAATAATTTAATACATGCTTAAGTGGCATATCATGTGATTATAGTACTGTATATTATATGCAATATACAGTATAAAATATTTGATCATGAATGGTGCAGTGGCCCACAGTAGACACTGGAAGCAAGTGCTATGTCAAAGCGGAAAAAAGTCTTCACGTCCAAGATGTGTACTCTTCATACCACGCCATGTGCAAGCAAGTTTCACTTGATTGCAGCCAGGTTGCAGCAGTACAGCAAGAAGCTTCGCCAAAAGCATTGCTCGAGGGGCAGCTTGGTCCAAACAGCGCACTGCTGCTGCTGCCCTTGCTGCCCAAGCATGCATGATAAACGCACATGATATATAGTATACATGAATTAC